ATAAATATAACATAAATGCATAACAAATTGCAAAGAAATAGCATCACAAGCCCATGAATACATGAGCTTATCTTCTAGTTCCCTATTTTCTAGTAACAAACTACTTTGAAACTTCCAAACATTTTGACTTATTCAAAAATACTCTAGTAACTTTATTTCGGCAATCTTTGAATATCTTAGCAGCCTACTCAACATGACACATCAGTAGCTGAGTCATTTTCTCAACATGTTTGTAGGTTGCCCAAAAGTGTGCTTCACGCTTCCTCAAATTAGAAACACAAGCGGCAATAGAGGTGTTTAGTAGAGCTTATAAGCTGCTTGTTTCAACTTTTAGCTTAATATAAGCTAAAACATTATGTTTGGTAGAGCTTAACTCATCAGATTATAGCTTAAATTAAGTAGAAAAATAGCTTTTCCATGAAGTGGCTTGAGGGGTGCTCAGCAGATTATAGCTTAAGCGGGAAGTTGGTTTGGAGGGGCAAAATTACTTAAATGCCCCTTATCAAATTCCGGAATTACCAAATACCCCATATATAAACCACATTTTCACACTGTTCACTCTGTGAGAGAGAGAGAGAGTGGCGATTTCCGGCGATGGTGGCGATTTCCGGCGATGGTGTGGTTTTTGACGTTTCTGGTATCCAAATACCACGTCTCTTCTCTCTCTCTCGATCGATCGATCTTTCACCATCACTTTCACAATTGAGGGGCAAAACCCTAACTGTCGCGATCGATCTCAAACCCTAGAGTCGAAACCCTAGTGCCGCCGGTGACATTTGAAACCCTAGCGCGATCAATCTCAAACCCTACATCCGTCGGTGACGATCTGAACCCTAGCACGATCGATCTCTTCTCTCTCTTCTGCGATCACTTTCTTGGCGATCTCTTCTCCGGTGGAGAAGAGAGGGGCAACCTCCGATGATAATGGCGTTGCTCTCTCAACAGCTCTCTCTCTCTCTGCTCTTGTCGTCACCGGTGTTAGGGTTTTTTGGATCTAGGGTTTTTTGGATCAATTTTTTTTTTTTGGAGGTTTTTTGTGTTTTTTTGATAAAAAAATAATAATTAATGAATAACAAAATAATAATTGATGTTAATTAAGCCATTAATTGACAACTAATTAATTTATAATGAAAAAATAAAATAATTTTATACTAATTGATACTATTAATAATTTTAGTGTTAATTGATGGTAATTAAGTCATTAATTGTCATTAATTAATTTGTAATGAAAAAATAAAAAAAAATATACTAACTGATACTATTATTAATTTTAGTATTATTTTATGGTAATTAAGCCATTAATTGACACTTAATTCATTTATAATGAAAAACTGTAAAAAAATTATACTAATTGATACTATTATTAATTTTAGTATTAATTGATGGTAATTAAGCAATTAATTGACACCTAATTCATTTATAATGAAAAAATGAAAAAAATTATACTAATTGATACTATTATTAATTTTAGTATTAATTTATGGTAATTAAGCCATTAATTGACACCTAAACATTTATAATGAAAAAAATGTAAAAAATTATACTAATTGATACTATTATTAATTTTAGTATTATTTATGGTAATTAAGCCATTAATTGAGAAAAGAAAATATTAATATTAATATTTGATAAATAAAATAAAAATTAATTGATACTAATTATTAATATTAATATTAAACATTTTTATATCATTGAGACTAATTAAGAAAAGTAAAAAAAAATAAAAGAAGAAAAAAAAATATTAATGTTAATATTAATTGATACTAATTATTAATAATAATTAAGAAAAGAAAGAAGCAAGGAAAAAAAAAAGAAGAAAATGTATCAATTAAGAAAAGAAAAAATAAATAAAAGAAACAAGGAAAAAAAAATTATTAATATTAATTGATACTAATTAATAATTTTAGTATTAATTGAGACTAATTAAACCATTACATTTTTATCAAATGTATCAATTTTTATATAAATTGATACTAATTAATACTAATTATGTTAATTGGAAAAAAAAAATGACAAAATTATCATTTTTATATCATATAAGGACAAAAAGGACAATTATATATAAAAAAAAATCTATTTTACAGCTTATCTACTAAACATTACTCTACTGCTTAAATCATAATCCCACAGCTGCACCAAACAGATTAACAGCTTATGTTCACAGTAATAAACTATAATCTGTTAAGTTATAATTTATAATCATTTTCCTACAACTCTACCAAACGGGTCAATCTCTCTTTCAGATGGTACAGTCACTTCCTCACTCACGGATTCACTCTCTCTCATTGATGCCCATCAACAATGGCCACCGACGAATCGCCACCATTGAAAAATTGTATTTCACTCTCTCTCTATCCTCTTGACTCGAATCTCTTTTTCTTAGAGGATTTCTAATGATAATTGATGAATAGATCAACGAGAGAGGTAAAAAAATTCTTGCACTACAACAAGTTGGGTCTTGAATGACGAAATTTTTTTGTCTCCAAAGAGCTAATTTCGTCACTATAGATATTTGTGAAAAAATATTTTCGTCACCTGTTTCGTCATTGAATGTTTGTCACTAAAAACCATCGTGATGAAAAATAATTTTGTTACCAATGAATTTACTTCAGTGACGAAATTTTTTGTCACCAATATAACAACATTTTGTCACCAAAAAATTCTCATTTTCGTCACCAAATAGTTATTCAGTACCATATTTATAACTTTAGTTGACGAATAAATTTGTTACACATGTTGATCACTGATGAGGAAATAATTTCGTCACAGTAAGATGTAAAGATGATGAAATTTTTCGTCTCCAAAAGTCATACATGGGTGACGAAATTTCGTCACAAATATATATATATATATATATACGTGATGAAATTTTTAATCACCAAACAACAAAATCAATAAAATGTTTCATATATAAATTACAATAAATTGTCACAAAAAATATTTATTAGCGACGAATAGTCACTTTGTCATAATAACAAGTACAAATGACGAAAAAATTTTATCACTGAACTTGTTTCATATTTTGTATTTCAATTTAAATTATTATTTCACAAACCCAATACCTTTTTAAATGTACTACGAAATCTACTAGCTATTTTACACCACTCCACAAAATAATTCACTAAACAATTTATATCATAAATGAAAATATATCCATCAAACAAATTTAATAATAATCCATTAAGTGCAATAAAAAAAAACCATCATAACAACTTCCAAAATGAACTAACGTGGAGTCTTCCAAAAAAAATAACACTCAACTAGGTTTAAAACTAGAACTAAGTATCAGTTCAGGAAAAAAAATTCAACACTTTGATCTTGATTTGCAAGTATATATGCTTCAAATAAATGTCATCAAAAACCAATTTGCAAAGAAAATAAACAAGGAAAACATTAATATATTATGAATTACATCTAAACTCATATATAAATAATTTTATTTTATAAACCAATTTAGTAGAAATGCATATAACAATCCAAAACTTCAAAGAGTTAAGGTGATCCTTAATGATAAAGCAACACAGATAACAGAAGATGCCAAAAGATTGCAGGAATACCAAATATCACTATCATTAATGCTAGAATATATTTAATAGCTTGAAAATATAATGTAGCATTGGGATACATTTGATTCATGACAATGGGTCGATGACTTCTTCAATGAGGTAAATTTGATCCGTGGAATTCAACACAAGAACCTTGTAAGACTTTTGGGTTGTACCATTAAAGGTCCAGACCGCCTTGTTTATGAATTTGTACCCAACAAAAGCCTTAATCAAATCTTCTTTGATAAGGAATCATTGTGATTTTTTATTTTTTATTTATAAACATGCTCATGTTTATTTTTTTGGCTCTTACTTTGGTTTTTAATTTTGGCTGCTTTTGGCTAAAGATAAAATACTAAATTGTTTAAATTTTTTTTCTTATTTTCATCTTTTTGCAATAAAATGGGAGCAATACACATTTTTACATTTCTTCATATATTTAGAAGAACCCATGTATCATTAGATTTGTGTAATTGAAGGTAATTGTGTAACTTGCATTACTACACAAATTAAAGGATCACTGAATTCACTCAAAATTGCAATTACAAATGTATTCATGTAATCATATCACATAACAAACCATGCAAACTTGCTTTCCAAAAAACTAGGCAAACATACTTATATGTTTTAAGAGTTTCCAAAAAACTCTTAACTAATACTGCTTTTACCATCAACTTGTCTATATGAGATTAATCCTACTCCCTGATGGAGTTTCATATTACTATGACCCAAAACTTGTAACTTTTTTTTTTTTTTTTTGTGGTGTGGCTATATTATAATTGACAAAAGCATATAAAGCAAAATCTGAGATATCCTTGCACCTTCTTTCAATTGTATCTTTAAGTGGCGACACTCTTTTATTCCATATAGATAAGAACAAGACTCAAATTCTAAGCTGGAAGTAGCAGTTCGACATCATATTGGGAATGGCAAAGGGGCTTGCATATCTCTATAAAGGTTCTTAAGTGAAAATTATCCACAGAGACATCAAAAGCTAGATTAGAGAGACATCAAAAGCTGGGTTACAGAGACATCAATAGCTAACAAATAATAGCTCTATCCATGTAAAAACAAATTGTGTACACAATGAATCTAGCTTAACAACTAGAAGGTCCTTTCTACATGGCAAGGTCCTATTAATCGCATCACTAACTTAGAGTAACTCCAACACTGCCTAGAAAAAATACACAAAAAAGCAAACACATAGTTTTGTCTCTTCTTTGGTTAGTGTGTATTTTCACTAGGGTCATGCTAAGTAAGAAGTAACTAATGAATCTATTTTCATTAAATACATCTTGAAACTTGTTAATCCTTAGTTATTAATTAGTCAAACTACTGTGCTTTAATTAGTATATACTAACCAACATGAGAAAAATAAAAAGATAAAACAAGCGAGACTTACCAAAAAGGCAATCTACGAGTTCATGGGATACCTCCTCCTCTAACTTCGTCTTTTTGTGCTTGAATTTCATGTTTTTGTGTTGTAATTTCTTCTTTTTGCGACTGAATTTCCTCATTTTGCTCTTGTATTTCAAGAGAGCTGGCAGAAAAGGAAAACTATATCAATTTTTCACAAAATAGCCAGGAACTGAAGTGTTATGACTAGCATCAATCTGAACACAGTAGAAAGCTGCTTAGGAAAGTACAAAAGAAGGGGGGAAAAATCATTGAAGCGTGAGAAAATTTACAACTTATTCAAGAACTCATCAAAAAAATCACAGAAACTACAGCATTCACTATTTATGACAGATAAATGACTCCCGATCTAAGAACTTAAGCCATTCTTGTTAACTGATCGACCTTGATGTCCTGTACATAATCTACTAATAATAAGCATTTCGATGTTTAAATTTTTGACCTTTTCACTACTGTCCAGTACCACTGAGACATGATAAAATAATCATACCTGGAGATGGAATGCAACCAATAATATTATGGATAAGGAGTTCATTGTTCGAATTGTTAATATCCTGTGCTTTTGCCCAAGCTTTCATCTACAATGGATAAAAACACATTGGCATTAATTAGATGTCACTGTCACGACCCAAACCCGGCCCTATGGATTTAGCACCGTAACCGGCCAGTAATCCGAGATTACCGAAGGCCTGCAGAACAGTAGAATAATAAAACAGAGTACAGGGCCTGGCGGAAGCCAATACAGTAAATGAATAGTGTCCATTGAGCTGTGTTAGTCTGTATGCCAAAAAGATTTTTCATGCATTCACATATACAAACAGTACAGTCTATACAAAATTTACAGTCACAGTGCAGGGACCTAATCCCTTGATAACAGTACGGTTGGCAGTTAATAGTCTATACAGTAATCCAACCAATATGGAGGCAGACGGGGGAAAAACAAGACACCCCAAAGCCATAGCATGGCAACTCGGAACCTCTCAGTGAGGCATAAGGGCTGGCTTGACAAAACTGGAGTCTAACCCACGCTCCTAGCTCCGATCTGGTGGCTGAGCACCTACATATATATATATAAACAGTGAGCTAAAGCCCAGTGAATAACATAATGCGTAAAGGGGTTATGAATGAAATGTCCTTACAAAAATGAAATCAGTTCATTAATCAATACTTCAGTCTTTCAGTCAGAACAGTTATTCAGTCATATGTGGTACATCCATTAGCATAGCAGTGAACAGTAGGTCTTAAAGACCGAGCAGTAATGATGGCCATCAATCAGTAAACAGTAGTGGTTCCACGAGGGAACCGACAGAGAATTCTGTCTCAGTAACAGTAAACAGTAGGTGCCAAGGATGCCACAATACAGTTCAGAAGACAGGACATACATTCATTCAGTAAACAATATCAGTTTAGTAAACAGTGCAGTTCAGTATTCAGAAGATAATCATTTGAACATATCTTTACACAACTGTTACTCACAGAGTTTGGGCTACAGTATGCTAGAGCGTGTCTCCCCAGTCGCCAACCCTACACAGTTAACAGATTGAACACACACTAAGCTACACAGTTGGGAAAAATAACAACTTAATCCCTCTCTCCCTTCTCCTTCCACTCACTCGGACACCGCTGGGACGTGGTAGAAGGCGGTCTTCAACCTAGCCCTCTCTCCTTCTCCTTGGGGCGCAAGACCCTCCCTAAGATGTGGCTCTGCCCTCCACCGGGCGTGCCAAAAATATATGTTGGCTTTTTGGCTTTCGAAGGTTATTTTTGTAGGCGGTTATGCAACAAAGGTACACGCTCGAGCGTAAACTTTCCCGCTCGGGCGTACTGTAAAAGTACTGGATGGGTGAAATCTCCGCTCGACGCCCGCTCGAGCTTGAGACATGACTCCGCTCGAGCGCCCAATCCTCCGCTCGAGCGGACTGTAAAACAGTGCAGAGAGATGCTGGATGCTCGGATTCCACGCTCGAGCGGCACTTCCCCCGCTCGAGCGGAAGTGCAGAATCTGGGAATTCCATATTGCACCTCCAAGCTCAAACTCACATTCAAATGCATCAAAACCAATCCTCTTGGGCCCATTTTCTGGAAAACATTTATAAACACATAGAATATCCTAGTTCAAAGCTCAATTTTGAGAAATCAAGGCCCAATGGTGTTTAATTCAAACTCAATTTCAAACCAATTTCATGAACAATATGAGCACGCAAACATGCATGAATTCAAATCATTTTGAAGCTCCAATTTGATGCTCTAAGGAGCCAATTCTTTTCAAAACATGGTGAAATCATGGACTTAACATAATTATGAACATGCATGTACCCCTTTTTGCCATGAAACAACTCAAACTCATCAATTCAAACATGCATACATGAAATGAGCTCTATATCAACATGTATGAACTAAAACAAGGCTTATCTCTACAATTAAACATGGACCATGCAAGAATCAACTTAAAGACAAACCAAAAGGATGAAATTCATACCCAGGTTCCTTAATTACTAGTCTTGAGGTTCAATCTAGCAATCCACACTTCAATTAGCAGACAATTCTCAAGTTGAGCTCAATTCTCTCCTATCTCCTCTCTTGGTCGGCTAGTGTAAGGAAAAGGGCTGAGGAAATGGTTTTTGATTCAAGTGTATGAGTGTATACAAGGCTCAAAAGTGTGTGAGATAGTGGCCCACTTAGTGGCAAGTTGGTAATTACGGCAAACTTTGCAATTAACTCGTTTTAATCTAATTTAATCATACCTAATCATTTTTCAGATAACTTTACTATAAAATCACATTAATTATGACGATCATAAAACTTCAATCAATTCCGGATTCGGCCGCCGATAAGGCCTTCAATTAGCAGTTTAAACACTAAAATACGAACAGATCAAATAATCAATCTACAGATAGAACGCAAATTAACATACATACTCAGTCAATTCAGTTCCGATTTTCAGTCAGTCAGTTCAGTACTTTAAGCAGATTATTATCAGTTCAGTTATCATTCATAATCAGTTCAGTTTAACGGTAATCAGTGTTTATCGGTAAGCAATGGTGAGGGTTATTACAGTCACTGAACAAGACTTGTGAGAAAATATTTTGGTGTCAAGTTTATGAATTTTGTTCTCCATCCCTCTTGAAATAGAGCTTACATACAGAGCACATCTTAAGAGCTTTCTCACAAATAAACTTAATGAGAACATCTTTGACCCTCTTCTATATGAGCATCTATTGGATGTTTGGTGCATGTACCTACTCTCTCTCTCTCTCTCTCTCTCTCTCTCTCTCTCTCTCTCTCTCTCTCTTTATTTTTGTACCCAACATAGCAGTGCAGCTATCTCCTATTCAGAATCCACTCAATTCCTAGGTAACTGCCCTGCATCTGATCCATGTGCAGAGGAACTATCACTATCGGAATATGTAAGTAGTGTATGAGATTCAATTAATAAATGTATTTCACAATCAAACAGAAACCCTTAAAGGGCAGTCGAATTACGGTGAATATAGATATACAAATACTGCATAATAACTAAAACAGATAACATTTACCACTTAAAGAAGAACCAGAGTCACTGCTAGAACTACTGGAACTACTTGATCCACTAACATTAATCCTCTTATTTCCCGAACTCTCAACTGTTTTAGATTCTTTTGGTGCCTGCAATGGCTAGAGCCAGGTTCTGTAATGATATTAAGACGAATAGTTCATTATCCAACTAATAGTTAAAGAGCCTCTGCAACAGTCATTAAACCTAAATTCAAGTTAGTAATTTACCATGCTTGCACAGGTCCAGTGAGACTCATTTTATATGCACTGTTTACTGTATAAAATACATATCTTTTTAAAAATCTGTAATGAAAACTTTCAAACCTCTAAATAACTTGTGTTGTCCGAAACATTCTGTATAAGCCGCATGAGGATGGCCAGAATAGCTCCTGATTCGAATTTCCTTTTTTCCTGAATCCTTTAGTCTGTCTTGCCGTTGTTGCCGTTGCTTTCGAGTTTAGGAGGAAGAATCGACAAGGAATGACTTCAAATGTTTGAACATCTCTTGCGACTTCTCTACATTGATTGCATGACCTACATTCTTTATGATCACTAGTGTGTGTTCTCACCCAGATGGCTGAAAAAATAAACGGAACATGATTCAATGAAAATGAATCAAGCCTCAGGCTTTAAAGCAATTCAAAACATTAGAAAATGCAAAAGCCCCACTTGGTTGCCAAGGAAACAAATGATATTAAAACTCGAGAAATCTTGCAAATAAAAAAGGTTACAAGCTGTCATTTTCTTTTCCTCCAACCTCTTGGAAACCAGAGAGGGCCAAAATACAAAACCTTATATCTAAAAAATGTTACTAAAATTATAAAATTCTTTGTATTGACCTTTTTAATCTGTGCGCCAATTCCAGTGGAAATATCCGATCTTGATTTCCCCAGATTATAAACATGGGCTACATCATGGAGAAATTACGCTATTAGCGAGCCAATCAAACTAGTAACTGAGAAACAAAGCAGGAGCTAAATAATATGGTGACAGACAAAATAAGAGATACAAAAACCTGAGTTATCTTGGGAAGATCAGAAAGTTTTATATCCTTGTGCAATGCTTGGACCAATTCTTTTCTTTCTTGAAGGTATTTTGTACACATCACATGCCCACACAGACTAATTCACAAAAGCAGTTTCAGGCAAACCAATATAGGGTAAATCCCATTTCCTAGAATCTTACCTTGTGATAGTAAGATATCAACAAATTCACAAATTTAAGACTAGCAACATTACTATGTGTTACAGAGTACAGACTACAAACATATTATTTAGGCAAGCTCATCAAACATTACAAGAAGGAAATCATTTATGAAATGTGGCTAAAAATCCAGTCTTGGCATTTACCCGTAAGACTAAACACGAAGATTGTCTAGCAATCAAACCTCATTACTTTCAAAATTTGCAGATAGTAGCAATTTGTGACAATACAGAAGAAATCAATGTTAACCCATAGAATACATTTAAAAAAAAAAAATCAATTTTACAATGTAATGAAGGAGAATTAAAATGCAAGTCTTGGATTTGTGATGGAAATTTTTTCAAACATATCTCAAACCTGGTGAACTAAAATGACCCTTCAACTCTAAAATACCCAACAATATGGCAATGTTTCACACAAGTATTTTATCAAACACAAGGGCTTCTACACCGCCTCCCTCTCCCAATCCTCTTTTGGCTCCCCAACTTCTTCATTCCCCTTAGGAACCCCTATCCCAGCTGGTTACACTTCTCCTTATGCCTCTTGAAACAGCCCCTCCAACCCTCTACTACCATAGATCTATTGCCTCCTTCCCTCTTATCCACAACCACAAAACTACTCTTTTTCTCTACCACAAATCCAAAATGCCTGCCCTTTCCCTCCCTACTATAGCACCGCTAGCCCTCCTCTTACACCGCACCTCCGTTACATCATTCCATCCCCACCACAACGCCACCATGTTACCAAAAACCCTTACCCCACCATTAAACAACTACGAGAGAGAGAGAGAGAGGGGGAGAGAGAGAGAGAGAGGCCATACCTTTGTGTGTTTTGTAAGAAAGGGATGAGACGAAGACTGGAGCACCAAAACAAAAAAAGGTGGGGGAGAATCAATAGGGTTTAGGGATGGCAATGGAGGGCAATGGGGTGGTTATTAATTCCCCATCCCCATTTCCCTATAATTATTTTTACCCATTCCCCATTCCCTATCCTCTATGGATACTACCCTCCACATCCCCTAATCGGTTTGGATTTTCCCCAACCCAACTTGACCCTATTTTTTTTTTTTAACCAAAGCTAAATATACATTTAATTTAATTTTTTTTGACTTAACAACAAAATCAAATACACATTAATTAATTAATTAAGAAGTTCGTTTTAAAGTAATCGAATATATAATTTTAAGACAATCAACTAAGTTTTTAGTGATTGAAAAAAAAATAAAAAATTATATAATTGTTTTCATCTGATGGTGCCACATTACGCCACATCAGAATATTTTAAAGACAATAAAAGAAAAAACAAAATCTTACAAGAATCATGTAAAAGGGAGATTTAATATTAAATTAAATCAATAACTCAAATGTAATCAAGCCCAAATTTCTTACAAATTTTTCAATCGAATTTCATTGACATCTATATTTACAACACACTAATTCAACTAAAAGCAAAAGAAATAAAAAAATAAAAATAAAAAACAAAAGTTAAAAGCAACAAAAATTCTAATTCAACAATGCACATTCAACAAAAATTCCAATTCAACACTCCAATAGCAGTAGCAACACTCCAGCAGCAGCAGCATTTCATCAAGACTAATCTGTGCATAAGCCCTATCAAGATCTGCACCAAATCTATACTATTAACATGATAAGGCAGCACTCCCACTTGGTGGTGAAGCATGTTTTTTAAGCTCCGTCACATTTTGTATTCCCAAAAAAGTCCAAAAAAATATATTAATTCATTGTCTGATTTCTTTTTTCTTTTTTCTTTTCAAACCACTTAAGATGAATATGTAACTTGATTGATAGATGAAATTATATCACTAACCATCAAGTCTCTCCTTTTTTTATCTCTCCACTTCCAATCTCACTATGTATTTAACTCATTTTGTCTCTTCTCACACTCTCATACGGTAAGGTAATGTATGGTTAGGATTATTTTTTAATTATAGTATATAAAAACCCAGAATTATAAAAATCAAAAATAGATAAAATCATGCTTACAGTGCAAGAGATTCTCCTAGTACAGAATAGATTCTCCTACTAACAAAATGACTGAACGGAACATAAAGACATTTTCATATTCAAGTTCTAAACATCAGAAAAAAAATTCCAAAAAATATACCTCATTTAAGTTAAGGTAAAAAACACATCCTCTATCATTCATCTTAACTAGATCAAATCAGTGATGCCATCTAAATGTTCCAACTCAAATTTGACTTGGTGTACCAGAAAAATTAGAATTAAGCAAAGACATTTCACAAAGACAAATGAAGGAAAGATAATAGTAATAGTAATTCTCATTCTAGACCAGATAAGTGATGATAAATATAATGTCTCCCTCACATTTTGGCCATGTTTGATTGGTTAGTCATTTACTAATGAACTCTTCAAAATAAATCAAAAACCCTTGTTCTAATGATAATAGTAATAGTACATCACTAATACTGAGCTGCTGTCTATTACATTCTGAGAATGGGTTCATATGTTAATGGAACAAGTTCTAAATGTCTCAAAAATAGTTGATACAACCATCAGGCACAGTGTTATCCAATGCAAGTACCTCCGAATCAGCCATACGGATACTGAAATTCTGAATATTAGTGTCTCAGTTGAAAACTATGTTCCTGATAGTGTTTACACCTAACATAGCAAAAGAGCTTTAAAAAAATACTTATAAATAAAAAAAACTAACTGAATCAATTACATGTCTACAATCTTGGAAAAAAAATACCCTCCCAACTCTCATTATGATCTAAAATCTGCAGGAAAAAAGGTTCTCTTTGAACAAAAGACAATGAAAGAAAATGAAAATGACATGCTTCTAGAAAGATGAGGACAACTTGTCTGATATTAAAGATTGGGATGAACTGTCTCAGTCATGTAGAACTTTGTCGTTGTAATTGTTATTGCTTTGTCCATGTAGTAATGGCCATTTTATTAATGAAAAAAATGATGGCAAAAGTATAGATGCAAGGAGCAATACCCATTCTGATTATTTGGACTCTACAAAGGTAGTGAATCTGGAAACAGAACCAGATTCAGCTCCAAAGAAAAGGGGTAAGAAACCTGTATATATATACAGGTATATACATATAGATTTTTGTGCTACATCAGTTGAAAATCAAAGTAAACGCCATGAAAAAAAGGCCTCTTAAGATGGGGAAAAAAAAAACCCATCAAAAAATCAAACTCAAAGATTAAAAATTGAAAGCTCTCAAAATTCAAGCATCTACCGATAAATTAAATGACTAATTACTATTCTAACAATTAGCAAAACCTGATAAAGCCCTTTTGTTTACAAGTCACAAGAAGCTAAGTACCAATTCAATTAGATAACAAATCAATCAAAACCCATCAAAATTAACCAAAACCTATTAAAATTAAACAACCAAAACCACAGAATTCAACAAAGCCACCTGACGATTAAGCGTGGTAGGGTCATGCCTGGACCATAACACATCAAGCAAGGTCTCATAACTACACTCCTTGGGATCATACTAAACCCTAACGACCTCCGAGTGGTTCATAGTCCTCGAACACACGTCGTTGTAAGAGGGGTTGTGAATAGCCAGAGAGAGAGAGAGAGAGAGAGAGAGAGAGAGAAACAAGAGAGAGAACTCAGCAATCTGGAGAATTGTGTTAAGCACCAACGAGATCGCCGAAGAACGATAGAACTCACGATGCTGGAACTCTGATCTGGAGTGGGAGTGAGAGAGAGTGAGAAATCAAATGAGCAGTATGTGAAGTGGGAGTGAGAAATCCCAAGCTGTGTCAAAACATATAGAGAAATGAGCAGTATCCATTTCCCGACCCATTCCCTGATGGATAATTAAAATTAGATCACCGACTGAACCGATAGATAGAAAAATAGGGAAACCCACGTATTTCGGATAGGGTATCCATTGGTAGCCATTGGGTATGGTTTTTGTTGCCATTCCTAATAGGGTTCCTCTTTTTCATTACCGCCAAATTTCAAAATTCCCCCTTCATGATTGGTTAGTGATAAAATAATTTTGTCATTAAAAATTTTAAAATATTAAAAGTATTGACCATAAAAATATATTTCTCATTAAATAGTTTTAAAATATTTAAAATTAATTTTTTTAAAAAAATATTTAAAATTATTGATGACAAAAATATATTGCTCACTAATA